CCCTTACCCCTTACCCCTTAACCCTTACCCCTGACCCCCCCTGTTCGTATCACAAATAATTCAAAAATGAAGAAAAATATGGCAAAATATGTGAGTTACAATTTCGTTCAAAAAATAAAAAATGTTCGTTTTGACGAAATCGTAGTTCTAGAACCCTATGTACGTATACTGCTTTTTTTTTTTTTTTTTTTTTTTTTTTTTAAACGGGGCCTTAGTTGCTATTGATGGTGATACGAGCACCCACCACTAGCAGCTCAGCCATTGGCTCCATTCTATTGGTGGGGAGCTGTACCTGCTGGAAACCGGGTTCAGCATCCCTCTTACATAATATAACTTGAAACAGAAAACTTGCAATGATCAGAAGGAAAGTCACCTCTTCAGCCCCCTAGGGCCGCCAAAAAAAAACAATAACTGCAATAATCAAAAGGACAGCTACCTCTTCAGCCCCATAGGGCCGCCAGGAAAAAAACATCTCTACTAGTAACTCGTCCCCCTCTATCATATTCACTAAGCAACTCATTCATGTACCCTCGATGTGATGTGTATCAGCTAGAAATCAGATCCAGCATCTCTATACAATGACCTGTAACCCTATCCACCCATTATCTGTGTTGTACTATGTATCTAGATCTATCTGTATTATGTATTTGATTGATCAATCCAAGCATGTCACATGGCGGGCAAGGCGCCCAATTCTGTTAATCACACCAGAAGTTGAAACCCTAGTTCTGATGTGATCAGTGTTCATGAGGGGAGACCCTATGCACCTAGTATACTGTTTCTTCATATCGAGCAAGACCACAAGCGCAACCCTGTCAATCATCGAAGGGTCAAAACCCAAGTACAACTGTACTTTGTGTAATTTGGGGATCGAATCCAGCATCCCTATTCAGCAATGCGTGAAGAGGCACTGGATAGTTCCTTACTCAGGGGAAGAATCGCCCTCCTGCTTAATCCCCTATTCAATGTTGCGCGTAGATGATAGCATGAGAGAGACGTAGCTCACCCCAGAACCAAAATTAAACCCGTAATCATCCAACCCCGCATGAAGCCCCGTGAATGAGAGGTGAGGGCATGAGAGTTACAAGCCAATCAGCCATTAGTCGACGAGGGGGAGAGCATCTATCCTACTTCCCCCCCGTGCCGAAAAAAATCAAACGAATCATCAGAGTGAAACACCAGGCAGGAAAGGGGGGGAACGGTAGGTCGCACCTTCAACCTAAAATCCGACCTCGCGAGCCCTAACAAGGTCCTAATTCCTTCCCCCCTCAATGTTGGCGGCATCTCTCCCTTGATGCGGACAGGACGTTTGGAGGCACAATATACCTTTTGCGCCCCACTACTCTCGTAGCTTTTATCGCTGCCGACATCATGATCGTTGTTGTAGATGTTATTGTTGTTGTTGGTGTGGCCTTTGTTGTTGTTGATGTTGCAGTCATTATTACTGTTATCGCCGCCGTTGTAAATTTTGTTGTCATGCTTCACACCTTCCTTGCCCATTACACCCAATCGCTCCTCGCCATCATCATCACAGTTGTTACCGCCGTCATTGTTGTTGTTATCGTTGTTGTTGTTGTTGTTGTTGTTGTTGTTGTTGTTGCTGTTGTTGTTGTTGTTGTTGTTGTTGTTGTTTCTGTTGACATCCTCCCCATCCTTCACACCAATCTCGCCCATCACCTGCCTCTCCTCCACGACAGACACCACCTCTGCCGTGATCCCCCTGTTGTTGTTGTTATTGTTGTTGTTAGTATTGTCAACCTCCCCGGCCTTGTCACCGATCTCGCCCATTACCAACGTCTCCTCCACCACAGCCATCGACTCTGCCATGATCCTCTTCGCCACCTCCCACTCACCGTCATTGTTGTTATTGTTGTTGTTGTTGTTGACATCCTCCTCACCGTTCACATCAATCTCGCCCAACACCTGCCTCGTCTCCACCACAGTCACCACCTCTACCATAAGCCCCGTGTCGTTGTTGTTGTTGCTGTTGTTAGTGTTGTCAACCTCCCCATCCATGTCACCGATCTTGCCCATTACCAGGCTACCAGCCTCGCCTCCACCACAGCCACTGGCTCTGCCATGATCCTCTGCGCCACCTCCCACTCACCTGCCTGGTCACCATCGCCCTACTGCAGATGAGTGACAGTCTCGGCGCCAACTTGAAAAGATAGCATCCTCAAATTCTCCCGCCAGCCACCAATCCTCCCAACAAAGTTGTTGCCATTGATACTGTTGTTGATACCGTTGTTGTTGTTGTTGTTCCAGTAACCGCATTAACCTCAGACTTCTTCCAGGTGTCCACAGCCCCCCTGTGGCTTTTTTTTTTTGTTTGTGATTACTATGACTATCCCTACAAACCGTTTAAACCCTAAACCCTCTGTAAATCCCTGCATCACACATTCACACCTTGAATTTTCGTGAAGCCTGAGGATCTGCAGTGAAATGGAATACAATTTTCTCAAAAAGAAAAAAAGGGTAACTACGGCGCAATCGCGGAAGTAGTTTGTAATTGCCTTTCAAACTGCATTTTAGCAGTTTAGTCAGGGCCCGAATTTCAAATGGAGTTTAAACTTGGGGAGACCTTTTTTAGCAGCTCAGTCAGGCACGCGGCCCCTCTTTTTTCCGTTTTTCGTTTTTTTTTTTTTTTTTTTTTTTTTTTTTTCTTCCGTTTATCATTCTTTTTTATGAATTCTCAAGCGTGGCCAAGACATCTCGGCCGTGGCCCTGGCACACAACGAGAGACTTTCTTTTCTTTTTCTTTTTAATTATCAGGCATGCCCGCTAATCTTGGTTCTAGCTTGATGGGTGCTTTCTGTTGATTATCTTACGAACCCATCCCGTTGCGTTCGGGTTTTGATTGTAACCAACGTGTCAACTTGTCCTTTTTTCTCTGTCTCTGTCTTTCTCCCCCTCCTTTTCTCGTTCTCTTTATTTTTCTCTTTTTTTCCCTTCTCTTCCCTTTTGTGTCTATGGTCGTCAATTCATGGTTCGTTGTAGTCATCTACGGTCGCCAATGCATGGGTCGTCGTAGTCATGAATCTTGTTGTAGGCTGTGCTGAATCCTTATAATTGGTGTCGGGTTCTATATGCTTGTACGGATGTATGAAGTCTGTCTCTTATACACATCTAGATGTGTATAAGAGACAGCTATTGGCGAGAGGGTTTCTTCCACCTTTCACGTTCACATCAGA